GCTGGCATTCCTGTTTTCCTGCTCCCTCGAGTCTGAGTCTCACAGTCAGGGCTGCCTCTGCCTTATCTCAGCAGAAAACGATGCCCACAGCCCTCTGATCACAGCCCTCTGATCACAGCCCTCCGATCACAGGAATCTTTCTCAGCACCACGCTCGGCTGCTCCTGTGTCCAGGCCCTGCCCGCTGTGTAGCTTGTTGCCTGGCTCTGGAGCAGGCCTCTGCAGATGTCATTTCTCTATGCAGTGGGCCACGGCTGCGGGGACATGGGTGGGAGTTGACACCAAGGATGTGCCCACGTCAGTTTCGAGACCCAGGTCGTTTCAGGGTTAGTTTCAAACCCGCAGGTGCTGTGGTTCTTGGTGCCGCTCTTGGAATGACCTGCACTTCGTGGAGGCTGTTAAATGGGGGAGGCTGGTTAGAGCGGGAGCCAGCTCTCGGGTGAGCGCATCTGCCCTGGGCGAGAGAATCTGGTTGACGCTCAGTCACATTCACGTGAGGTTGATGTTGGGCGGCAGCCACATGGACTGGAGGAAAACACCTCGCACAGCCCCCCAGAGGTGCAAGAGTGTCACCTGAGTGGCTATCCCTGTGCCGCTGCCCCCACCAATAATCTACTAGGATGCGCATCTTCCCCTTTGGGAGCTTCACATAAAACAACATCAAGGGATCACTCCAGGACCTCACGCGATTTGGGGTGATTCAGAAAAGGGATTTTTCTATTCTGAGGTGGTTGCCTTTTGTCTACCTAAGCACTTCGTAGGGTTGGGTTAAAGTAAGCCGTTCTCAACCAGAGGCAGTCTTTGCCCCCCTAAAAATTGGGCAATGTCTGTGGTGACAATTTTGGTGGTGACCGCCGGGTGGGCAGGGTAGGGAGGCGTTTGGAGTGGGGCTACTGGCTGGGTAGAATTCGTAAAGCAGCTCCTTCTGGCCCCAACTGTCACCCGGGGGAAGCCCTCGGTCCGAGAGGCCATCCCTGAATTCTGCCAAGCCCCCCTCGGCCCCGTTTGTGGTCCGAGTGGTGACGTTTCCTCTGGCCTGCCTCTTACAGGTCTCGGAGACACTGAAGCGTTTCGCAGGCAAGGTGACGACAGCCAGCGTGAAGGAGCGGAGAGAGATCCTCAGTGAGCTGGGGAAATGCGTGGCCAGGAAAGGTACTTCTTTGTTCCCGCCCCCCGGGACCCTGTCCAGTGCCTTGGTCCCACGTTTGGCAGGTGCTGCCTGTCACTGTGGGCGTGGTTTGCCTATTTGCAGGTGCACTTATGTCATCTTGCTCAAGGTCACTTGGGTTCTTGTAGAATTTACCCATCGAGGTACCAAAGTGATTTTTTAAGAAATCATTTTATTGGGGGCTCGCACAACTCTTACCACAATCCATGCATCCATTCTGTGTCAAGCACATTTGTACATTTGTTGCCCTCAGCATTCTCAAAACATTTTCTTAATACTTGAGCCCTTGGTATCCTCACCACCACCCCATGAATCCTTGATAATTTATACGTTATTATTATTTTGTGATGTCTTACACTGACCAGTGTCTCCCTTTACCCACTTTTCTGTTGCCTGTCCCCTAGGGAGGGGGTTATAGGTAGATCATTGTGATCGGTTCTCCTTTTCTCCCCAACCTTCCCCTTCCCCTCCTGGTATTGCTATTCTCATTGTTGGTCCTGAGGGGTTTATCTGTCCTGGATTCCCTGTGTTTCCAGTTCTTCTCTGTACATCCTCTGGTCTAGCTGGAATTGTAAGGTAGAATTGGGGTCATGATAGTTGGGGGGTGGGGGGGGAAGCATTAAGGAACTAGAGGAAAGTTGTATGTTTCCTCGGTGCTACATCACACCCTGACTGGCTCGACTCCTCCCCGTGACCCTTCTGTAAGAGGATGTCCGGTTGCCTACAGATGGGCTTTGTGTGTCCATTCAGCCCTCCCCCTCATTCACGATGACATGATTTTTTTGTTCCTTGATGCACGATACCTGATCCAATTAACACCTTGTGATCACACAGGCTGGTGTGCTTCTTCCATGTGGGCTTTGCTTCCTTGCTTGTTTAACTGCAAGCCTCTAAGACCTCAGAGACTATCATGTAGTTTTAACTATTTTGACGGGGATGATGCCAACAACCTTTACTTTTTACTTTTTAGTGTGAGGTTGTTGAGGGTTGGCAAGGGGAGACTATCGGTCTTCTGGTCTCCCATTCAGCAATTCAGCACATTTTGTTTGTTTCAGTGCCTCCATTGCCCTCTCCTCAGGGTGCCTATTCCTGCCTGGGTTGGTTGTGTGCAGGCGCCCTCCGCCCCAGCCTTCTGAACTTTGTCCTTGGCTACAAGCTGCCCTCTTGATCTTAGAGTTGAGTATTCTACCATGGGGGAGTGAGTTCAGTTTCAGATCTGCAGGGTGACCATGGAGGTCCGACTAGTCTCTGTCTGACAGGGAATCCTGGTCTCTTTCATGATTTTGAGTTATTTTCCACATTCTTCTTCCGCTCAGCCCAAGACTTTCTAAGGCAGCGGTTCTCAACCTTCCTAATGCTGCGACCCTTTCATACAGTTTTCATTGCTACTTCATCACTCATTTTGCTACTGTTATGAATCGGGCAACCCCTGTGAAAGGGTTGCTTGACCCCCAAAGGGGTCTCGACCCCAGATTTGACAACAGTTGCTCTAGGAACTGCACGTGATGTTGCTTTGTGTTCTTATCCAGGTGTGACCTTCACCCTGTAAGTCCTAGAGTTTTTCCAGGGTTCTTTCAGGTGTCGGTTTGGGTTACACAGCCCTGGTGCTCATCTCCTGGGAGAAATGCAGATCCTCAGGTTTGCCCCCAGAACCCTCTGTGTGGAGCTCAGCCTCTGTGTCTTCAATAAGCCCCTCGGAGGCCTAGGCAACCCTTTGAGAACTGTGGCCAGGGATGGACTGGGACCCACACCTCCCTGTGTGCCAGCGTTTGCATCTCATCGGTCGAGTCCCGCCCGCCTTCCCCACTTCTCGCTGGAGTCTCCTGGGCTGCCTGCTGCTGGCCCAAGCCTGTCAAAGTGGTGTGTCAGTGAGGCTGATGGCCGCCTGCGAGCTTCTGAGAGGTTCTCCTGGGTATCCCTGCTTCAGTGTATGAGTCTCACGGCGGTATCCTCCAAGGTCTTTCCGGCCGCTGTTACCACAGGGTGCCCGTCAGACCAGACTGCCAGGTGGCCGCGTTCCAGAGACAGAGACAGGCTGTTCACACCCTCTGCCCCATCGTGTGGGCCTCTCCCTGCTAAGTGGTTGCTGCAGACCATACTTGTTCCTGGCCCCTTTCCCCACACCCCACTTTTTGGAGGGAGGAGTTGGATCTGTGAGTGGACGGAGTTGCTGAGGAGGCTGTCCGAGTCGTCTAACCCTGGGTGCTGGCAGGCAGCAGCACGGCTCCTCCCAGTCTGGCCCTGAGAGTCTCCCCAGTGCTCTACTCAGCCCTGCCTCCAGACACCTGAACTGGCCGCGGAGACCCCTGATGGAGTGTCACCTGTGTCTGACCCTTCAGTCACTTTCCCCCCATGCATCAGGCAGTGAGGAAGGACCTGTGGTCAGAAGAGTGACCTGGTTCAAGGGCCTGAACCTGGTGGCTCCCATCTACTTGCTTTGAGCAAGGGGAGAGCGGCGGTGCTACCCTGCAGGGACTGGGCTGAGGAGCGGGAGGGCCGGCGTGGCTGGTGCTTCCCTAGAGCCCTGCTGTGGGGAGCTCGCTGGGCCTATCCACTCTTTTTGGCTGTTCTCTCAGCAGTAGCTTGTTTCTGGCCCTGGCCACTTTTCCTTTCTCAGGTGGACCGAGCGTGTCCAGGGCCTTGGCCATCCGGGTCTCTTTGTCTGCAAGTCGGGCCATGACAGGCCACTCCCTCCCCAGCCCCCCCACGAGGGCTATGGGAGTACTTGTGTATAAAGTGCTTAGAGCAGGGCTGGCCACCATCTGAGCTCTATCGCAGCGTTGGGTGTGGTCTCTTGACTGTCACAAAGACAACCCATTCCCAAATGCGATTGTAACCACAGTGTCGGGATTGGGAGTGGCAGACACACGGTATTGGGGGAGGACACAGTTCAGTCCTCCACAGGCGCTGCATCGCCCTTCCTCCCTCCTCCTCTGCCCTGAGCAGGCATGAGGCTTTCGTTCCCCGCCGCACTTTGCTTCATGCTGGTGAGCGCACCCTGCTCTCGCCCCATTCTTCCACAGCCACGTGCCAGTCTCCTTTTGGTCTTGAGAAACCGCTCCAATTCCACGTGCCCTCTGCTCCCATTCCCTCGGAGGGCTTTGGTTTTCTAGATTTCCTGCTCTTTTAACACCTCTTTTATTAGGATATGCTTCAAGAAAAAGTCCACAACGCCAGAAGCGAACAGCTTGCTGAAATGCCTGTGTATATAAGACGCTTGGAGCCTCAGACCTGTCCAGCCCCCAGCAGTGCCCCCGCTTGGTGCTTGACTCTCAGGGCGCGAGTGTTGCCTTGGCCTCGGCACAGGCTTGGTTCCTGCCCCCCATGTGTTCCCAGTCTTGTGGGCGTAGGCTGCTCTTTCCTCCCCTGGAGTCGATGTCAGGTCAGCAGGCGGGCCCAGGAAGCGGTTTCAGCAACTCTCTGTGTGTGACCCTTGCTTTCAGAGCTGCCGGAGGGAGCGGTGAAGGGCCTCTGCAAGTTGTTCTGCCTGACTCTGCACCGTTACAGGTGAGCCTCTGCCGCCGCCTCAGCAGGGAGTACCCCCACAGCTCGCCGACCTGCTCCCCCCACCCCCAAGTCTGGGCTGTGTTGGATCTTAGCTGTTGGAAGCTGAGCGCCTCACTTAACCTCTCTGCACCTCCTTGTGCTCATCTGCAGAGTGGGCATGGCATGGGGGGCCGCCCGAGGGTGGTGGCTCGTCCAGGGCAGTTCCAGGAGCGGTGCCTTCTTGCCTGAGTGCTGTGTGTGTGTTGGCTGGCACTCCTCACACACGCAAAAGTGCGGGACCTGGTAGCTGCCTTCAGACCTTCCTGACCCTGGTCAGCTGTTTTCAGGAGATGTGGCAGGGACATCGAATACCGGGCCTAAATGTCCCTGAGACAGCTTCCCCGAGTCAATGTGCACTGTCTCCTTCACCCTCCAACTAGAGATGCAGCCTCCCGCAGGGCCCTGCAGGCCGCCATCCAGCAGCTGGCAGAGGCCCAGCCAGAAGCCACCGCCAAGAACCTCCTGCAGTCGCTGCAGTCTTCGGGCATTGGCTCCAAATCAGGTGTTCCCAGGTAAGGAAGAGGCAGTGGCGTGCTCAGGAGAAGCCCTGGGAGTGAGGGATTGGAGGAAGCAGGCTGGCAAGCTCAGTGGAGGGGGGGGACTGCTTTGCTGAGCAGCAGAGCTGAGGGCCACAGGGTCAGGAGGAGTCCTCTTTGTTTCAAGGCTATGCAGGCTGGGAAGAAGGTCCCACGCGCAGCTGCTGACTGAAAGGTCGGCGATGTGGACCCACCAGCCTAGGAAGGCAGCTGCGGCACCTGCTTCCGTAAAGATGCTGGGCGTGGGGACTTGAGGGGCAGTTCTACCCTGTCCTGTAGGGTTGCGATGAGCTGGAATTTGCCACAGGAGCAGTGCGTTTGGCGTGGAATAGTGCTGAGCGAGGGGAATGTGACTGAACTCCCTGACTTGTGGGGAGCCGGCCCCCAGTTCTCCCCAGCCGTCTGTCCAGGGCCGTTGGTGTGGTTCATGCCCCCTCTCTTCCCCTCTCCTCGCATAGTAAGAGCAGCGGCTCC